ATATATATATATATATATATATATATATATATATAAAACAATATAGTAAAATAATATTGAATATATAAAAAAGCAGATCAATAAATAATATATTTCCATCAAATTGGGTTCTCCTCCATGTCACTTGGAGTTTTGTTATTTTGCTTTTTGTTCCTGTTATATCAACCTTTTGGTTTTATTAAGGATTTTTTAGTTCTTTTACTTGAGCTTCCCATGTCGGTCTGCATTCTTGTGTATAAATCGTCATTAAAAAATGTTGGGTTTAGGGAATATTGAAATTGTTCAGTTGAACACATATCTGAAATGTCAAAGCACAATAACTGCACTGAGGAGAAATCTGACATATTCTGATTCATCTGAGACTCACAGGCAGATGCTGTGGAGCTAAACCTTTGCAGATGTCAGACATACGCATACGGATGTGCACGCATGAATGCGTGCACATCCGCTCACATCCGCTCACAGACTCATGTTCATGTTTGTGCTGATGTTCAATGTTTTTATGTTATGAGTGCTTAGTGTATATTTAGTTGATGTTTTTCTTAGTTCATATCTTAGATGTTATTACTGTTTTTCTTATACATTTTATTGTTGGATGTAACTGGGACCTTGTGTACATAATTTCGCTCCACCACATGTATCACATGAGGTGCGAATGACAATAAAGTATCTCTGACTCTGACTCTGACTCTGACATAGTAATAGCAGGATGTAAAATACAGGCAGGCAAAGCATCCATGGAATGCCATAAACAAGTGATGAGAATGACACACAGTAAGATCTGTGCAGAGTATTGACTGGAGATCCTGCAGTCAAAATAGGAAACTCCACCAAGTGTGGTAAGGAATGGCAGGGATAAGATACTGTGGGACTTCCAGATCCATACTGACAAACATATGATGGCTAACCAACATTCTAGTTATCAATAAGCTACAGAACATGACAGTGGTGATAGATGTAGCAATCCAAATGATTGTAACATCAAGAAAAAGGAACATGAGAAGCTTGAGAACTATCAAGGGCTGTCTGTGTGGAGAATCAAGGCCTTAGCGGTGCCAGTGATCATTGAAGCTCCTGAAGCTTTGATTTCAAACTGGAAGAGTGGCTACAACAGACCTCTGCAGAAGAATGCTGTCCTAGGAAAAGCTAAGACACTGCACAGAACCCTCAAGCTCCCAAGTCTCTGGTAAAAGACTTGAGCTTCAGGAGCACGTTTCTGGAAGAGGCACAGAAAAGGTTAAACAAAACACAATATACCTGTATTAGATAACATAATCTAAAATGTATGATAGATCATAAAACATTTCAGATGCTTTCAGATGCTTCAGATGATTTTCTGTCCTGGCAAAACATGTTTTCAGAAAGTAAATCCAATCATTGATATTTTTTTCTGTAGAGAGGAGCAACTTCCTTTGTACAAAAAAAAAAGGGGGGGGGGTGTTTACAACTATTTCAGCAAGTATGATTCATTGTGACTAAAACAACCTCTGACCTTAAAATCACTGAGTACCTCTGTCAGGACTGAATATTTTTTTAAACTTCATGCTCATTTTTTTCATTTGCAGTCAGAACATTTACTTGATGATATTTAAATGTTGTTTTCCTTTGTTCCCAAAATCTCCAAGTCTAGAAAACATTAGAAATATCTCCAGCATAGATGTAGTATAGGAAAAGATAGGGATGAGTTTTATACTGTACTGTACTCTGAAGGGTACTGCTGAGGCAGCAGGATGATGGAGCTTAGCTCCAGCTGGAAAGGATATACTGTATCTCCCAAAGCCTTCCAGTGTTGGCTGCTCAGTGTAAATGAAAGAGTTCAGAATGATTCAAATGATTCAAAAATTTCCAGTAGCTGGCAAAGGATAATGGCACCACTTTCAGGTTAGTTATCTCACTTTTAATTATAAAAGTCCTCTCTTTCAATTAAAAGCAACAGCTTGTTTAGATTACTTGTATTAAGCCAATGTGTTTGTGCAACATGTTATACTGACATTAAATATTCTTGACAGTGTTCTCTTGTGCCATTAGGTCTTTAATGGAAAAAAAAGTGTTTACTATCAAAAGAGCAGAAATCTTCTGCTGCTAGTGGTTTTCCTCCTCATACTTCTGTGATGCATCCTTTTACAAGAGAAGAGTGGAATGTGGACACCAACAAATGCTCTGGATCAACTGGGACAGCAGAAACCACAGGGAACTTGGGGTCCCATAGAACAACCCGGGAAAGGATTCCAGGGCAACAGACGCCTGGAGCTTGTCGATCACCATCTATAATTGTGGTCCATTCCACCCCTTCAGGAGAGAAAATCCAGCGTGAGAGTTTTCTGATAAAGGTAAGCCAGTGAGCTTGGGTTTTCTATAAAAATATATAATCAGTTTTTATGTAAAATTTAAAAAGTATTGCCATTTTAAATTGGCAAGCAAATGACTGTAGCAAAGAAAAATCATACCACTTTAACACTTAAAAGTGTTTCTTGTTTCAAAGATTATGATTATAAGTTTAAAAAATATTTTAAAGTATCTAAACATAGGTTATATGACCTATAGGTTTTATTCTAAGTCCCTGCTAAGTTTTCAGTTTTCAACTGATGTTAGATTGAATCTTGTAACTTGTCTCTTTAGAAGACTGTAATGAGAAGTCTTTAAAATATTTGTGAAAATGCAGTGGATTGGAGTCATTGCACTTGACTGAATTACAATGAACCCAGGAAACTTTTGGCAAAGCTGTAGTTTTAGAGGGAAACAAACAAGTAATTTTCTTTTTCCCAGACTGATCCAGGCCGGTCGCCACTAAACGAAACCATACCAGGGACTTTTCCAGAGCATGCAGCAACCAAGAAACACCACAAAAGTGCAACGGATATTTCCTGTCCCGTTTGCACTTCTGATGTCACAGCTGGAGAGCAAAATCTTTGGCATCGCTGTTCACTTAAAGAGACCAACCAGGTTTCACCATTCCGTCGCCATGCCCTCAGCGTCCCCAACATGGGCTCCTTAAGCCCCTTTCATTTTAGTAACAACAGTCCTATCCACAGCACACACCTTTCACCAGCCCACAGCAACATATCAAGCCCTGGCAGAGATGTGGAAAAGCTGGCCAAGGCTCGGAGCAAACTCCTAGAGAGTGAAAGCAACCAAACTCCCAGACTTCCCCCAGAAATCAGAGAGCAACTTCGCTATGTGTCCAAGGACGGGAAGTGTCGTGTTAACCTGTGCCACATTGATGAGAGGGGCCGTTTCTTGTCTGATATCTTCACCTCATTTGTAGACCTCCAGTACCGCTGGTTTTTGTTTGTTTTCATGATGTGCTACATCACCACATGGTTCCTCTTTGCTGGGCTCTACTATGTCAATGCATATTTCCGAGGTGACCTAGGACATACACAAACTTTTGGCACCCCTGAGAACCACCTCCTAGATCAAAAGCACTGTTATTTAGGCATAGACAGTTTCATTTCAGCTCTGCTGTTCTCTGTGGAGACGCAGCGCACGATTGGTTATGGGTCACGCACTGTGTCTCCTGCCTGCCATGAGGGCGTGCTGCTGGTTATGATGCAGTGCATTGTTGGCTCCATGATTGATGCCCTCATGGTGGGTTGCATGTTTGTGAAAATATCTCGCCCAAAGAAGCGAGCCGAGACTCTTCTCTTCAGCCGCACTTGTGTCATCTCAAACCGTGATGATCAGTTGTGTTTAATGTTCCGTCTAGGAGACTTGAGAGAAAGCCACATGGTGGATGCAAAAGTCAGGGCCAAGTTAATCAAGTCCCGTCAAACAGCTGAGGGAGAGTTCCTCCCACTTGAGCAGACTGAGATTGATCTGGGTTATGAATCTGGGTCTGACAGACTTTTCCTGGTGGAGCCTCAAGTCATTAAGCACAATATTGATGCAAAGAGTCCTCTGTGGGAACTGGGCCCCGAGCAGCTTAGACGGCAGCAGTTTGAGATCATCATTATCTTGGAAGGAATTGTTGAGGCCACAGGTGAGCAAACACAAAGAGTAGTAGACAAAATATTGAAGTGTAGAAAAGTACTTTTAGTTTAAAATGTAGAGCAGAAGTACTTTGAAGAGTAGTTCAACCTCGTCTTATGCCTACACCGTATTGTTAGGTATTTTCTCTGACCTATAAAGGAATAATTTCACACAAGACAGGAGGATGAGTTGTAGCGCTCAGATCCTTTGCAAAGGGGGGAGTGACAGAATCCAAAATATTTCCACAGTGTTGATTTAAATCCAGCAAGAGAGTGAATTTCATTATCTGTGTTTTCTGCCTCATCTGCCATGTTGCTGAGGCGGCTGCAGAGCGCAGCCGCGCACAGAAATGGTGACACAGACGTGACTTGGGATTTCAAAATAAAAACATATTTTAAAGATGATGATATGAATCGCTGTTTTAGTTTTGCCACAATATAATTGAATCATTAATTAGTTACTTGATTTAAAAAAGTTACTTTGAGTCACTCTGTTGTTTTAACAACATTTATGAATAAATATCCTCCTGCTGGAAAAACAAAATACAAGTGCTCCAGAAACTGATTTTATAATAATATATGGGTGTATGAATGTAGACAGTCACACAATTTCCTTCATCTTAAAAAATTACTCGTTTGTTCCACTTACTGTAGTACAGCACCAATCTTGACTTTATGTGTCAAAATGCAAGCATGGTGACACCACGTGGTCCATAATGTGTATTGCAGCGATATTTGACATAATCCAAACTAACAGTTTTCTCTCTCATCATATTTTACCAGGAATGATGTGCCAAGCTAAAACTTCTTACATTGAAACAGAAATTGAGTGGGGTTCTCGCTTTGAACCTTGTATGACACAGGAGAAAGGCTCGTTCAGAGTGGATCTGCGTCGGTTCCACGCCACATACAAGGTACCGCTGCCCAACTGCAGTGCCAGCCAAGCTCACCAGTTAATGGCTGTGACAGAGTGTCGAATCCAAGGCCACAAAGCCTGCAGAAACTGGGAAGCCTGGGTAGAAGGACTCTCCACGGAGGAGAAAGAGAAGTCTCCATCTCAAAAACTGTTCACTATTGGCGACATTCAGAAGGAAAGAATCTTGGAAGGTAATGAAAATGAAGCAAATGGAGAGAAGAACATGACATAAATGTTTGCACAGTCTCTTTTAGACATTTAAAAAAAATATATATAATTTATTGCGTAATTAATCAGTGAAAAACTTGTACCGATAATTTGCTTTGATTTTTCTTATAATAACACTGAGGTGTTACAGTAGAAACACAGGTGTAAATAAAAAAAAAAACCAAACATTATTTGTGTAGATGTACTGTACTTATTTCTATGGTTACTTTCTGAGTTTCCATAAAATCTATTCAGTGGTTTACAAAATATTTTGCTAACAGACAAGACACACATATTTATACATGCAAACACACAGACACGGGTAAAAACATCGCCCACCTTTCACCGTTCAGTGGTGGGCGATAAAACAGTTCAAATGCCTAAAAGTCCCTGCAGAAATGTGGGGAGCGACCCCACTATGCCATAAAAACAAACCCGTGTACACACACGTGTTTGATTTTTATCGTTGTGAGGACCATGCGTTAACTTCCATTCATTTCTGTACCCTAACCCTACACCTAAACTCAAGTCATACCTTCACCCTAAACCTAATCCTTAACACAAAACTGGCATTTGAACATATGAGGACCTGGCTTTGGTCCCTCAAAGTATTAGTGGTTCCTGACAATTTGGTTTGTGTTGGAAAACTAATCCTAAAAGAGTAACACTCAGACATACACACCTGGCACATTTCAGTTTTTATTAACTTGAGAACATTAAATTGATTACAATCACTATAAGTTAAAAACATAATGCTGCATAAAATCTTTTTTCTTTTTGGAAAGTAAAAGAAGATTTGCTGTCATAACAAAATGCAGGTACTGTATTGTAGATGTTTCACTTTCAAATGGGGCTTTAATGGACTGGCTTATTAAAAGCAGTAAGCAGGACCAGTCTGTGAGCAGTAAAAACAAAGCGTACATATTTATTCAATAGAGTTGCGCTTATTTAAAGTAATTCTTGGTTTAATCTAAAACCAAGATTCTGTACGGTTTTGTTACAAAGATATTTGATAAAATGCCTCTCATTCCTTGAGACTTTTAACATTTGCATCTTCATAATTTTAACTGTAAAAATAGTAAACACTGCTAAGATGCCTCTTTTTTTATTCATAACTTTTTAATTTGATGCATTTATAGTCCAAGACATGACATAATCATATCTTAATGCAAAATGCAAAATAATAATTTATTGTCTATCCCTTACATACAGTGTATTTATGTTAATGTCTAAAATTGTCTTTAAATTAAAATTAGTGTGAACGCTGTCAAAGCTCCTTCCTGGAAACAATATAATGTGACATATTGTCAACATTTTGATGTAATATAACTACTATATGGCTATAATATATACTATTTCACTTATAAGTAACAATTTTATTGCCAAAAAAATGAATAGTACTGATAAATATGTTGACTCATTGGTTGAAGGTTCATGTTTTTGAGGATATTAACAATAGCAGAAAACACAAGGATCCCAACAAAAAGACAATAGTCAAAAACTAGTTTTTTAGACAAAACAGCAAATGCTATATTGTTCTAACCACAAACCAGTGAAATAAACTGTCCTAAATAAGAGTTTTCAAATGGTCTTGAGAAAATTTTACGCATAAAGTATCTTTGCTGCAGATCCAAAAGTAATTTAAATGGAAAAATCCCCTTTTTACAAAATAATGAAAATAAACATCACAAATTTGAAGAATGAAATAAATAATAACAATATAAATCTTTGAGTATATTAATTTGTAAAATGATAAGACATATGACCTTGATTTTGAACAACTATATGTACAGTAGACTGTTAATTAGTTTCAACTGTTAAAAAAAATAATGTTACTATAGTTCTCCTACAATTTTTATTTTTTTGAACCCATCCAGAGGACCTGACAACTTTTTTAGATTTTTCTACTTGGATTATTGAGCATGCATCAGGGTAGCTTTACTGTAGTTTCGGTGAGGCACTTACCGTCTTTGTTATTTATTTTTTGGTAGTTTAACCTTAATGACAGGGAAAAATACTGTTTTATGTCCACTTGAGGGCGGAATAACCTTGGTTGAAACCTGCAAAAAGCTCAAACAGCAAATAATTTTGAAAGTCAGAGGGAGGATTCCTGCGTCACCCAAAGAGAATAGGAGGCTGGTGTGGCTTTAAAGCTTCAAAAACACTTTCAAAACCTTTATGTCACTGGAAAATTGTGCTGAAACTGTCTACCCCATTATTGTGAATGCAAATAGACGAGTTTCAGTATGTATACATGTTTACACCTGTGACTTATCTGTTTGTGCTAATACATCTCCTCAAAAGTGATCAAAAACTCTACAGACCTTTTAACAAATATTCACCTTCAGATGAAACGGTATCACTGCAGCTCTCTGAATTATAATTATTATGCAAGCTACAGTTACAGCTGCAGTTTGTGAGGAGCAGTGGTTCATATGTGGGAGATGTACAGGTAAGTGTTGCTGATGCTCCAGTCAGGGGGGAAGTCCTGCACTGCATGGCTCTTGATGTGTCTCTGCATGGCGACCAGGCTGCTGCAGAACTCCAGGCACACGGTGCACTGGTAGGGCGCAGCCCCGCCGTGCGTCCGCAGATGCTTGATCATGGCTGAGTAGTCCCGTGAGCGTTGACCACAGAGTCGACACTCAAATGGTTTCTCTCCTTGAAGCACAAAGGAGAAACAGGAAGGAAGACATTAACAAGTGGAGAGAGCTGTAGTCACACAAGAGAGGGTGTTCTTTACTACTATTGTACCATTTGATCAAATTATTGACTTTTTATTTCATTTTAAGTCAATAAATTGGTTGCATTACCACTGATTTACTATGTGACATTCCTCTTTTCTTCCAGAGTTGAATTATGTCATTGAGTGAAATCACAAACATGGGGATACTTTTATGCAAATCATCAAGGTCTGCCTAAATCTACTTATGTTCAAAATAGTCGGCTTGCTTCTTTGATTATAGGTCAGTGTAAAACATAACAAAAAGGGTCTAATATTTTTACGTAATACTAAAATGTTTTATCATTATAAAAATTAACAAACAGTATTCAACAGAAAGCCTTAAAAAATGACTTGAGCATTTGTATGATTGACATCTATAGTAAAATATGTCACACATATCAACATATATAACTTCAGATAAATAAAAAATTGATTCAGTTTTGGTGGTGTTCAAACTTTAACCCACAAAAAATGTTTCCTTGTGTCCTTTACTATGTTCTAAATTGTATTTGTTTTTTTTGACATTTCACAGCCCTTTGATGACTGACAGTAAAAAAAAAAATTCATTTACCCTTTATTTATCCAGGTAGTCTCATTGGGCCATGAGAACTCATTTTCAAGAGAGACCTGTTTAGGGAGCAGATGGTGGGGGTTAGGGGCCTTGTTCAGGGGCCCAGAGTGGGGCGAATGAGGGTGGAGGGAGGTGTGGGTGTTTCACCTTTTCCACCTACATTTTGATGTTGATGGTAACGGGAGGTGAACCTGCGACTTTCCAATCACAAGCCCATCTTCTAACCTCTGCGCCACCACTCCCCCCAAATGTTTTTATATTAATAATGATATTATTTAAAGATAAGGCAGTTAAAAAGGAACATGCTTGAAAAAGAAATACTCAGTAGCATTGTTGAAGAAGATGTAGTTTTTTTAGGAGTCTTGATGTTCACTGTTGATTGATATTTCTTCCACCTCATGAAAGTTTTAGTTTAGTTTTTTTCCCACCGTATTAAAATGAGTGGAAAACAGTTAGCTGCCTGGAATATGGTTGAGAACTAAAAAAAATTTTGTTTGGAAAAAGTACAGCTCTTACGCAAACAAAAGCCCCACTGAGGTGGGTAATACCCAAATAAGAAAGTGAAGTAGGCCGATGTCAGATGATGGTTTTCTACCCCAAGTTTAGCAGAAGATCCCATATGACCACCACTTCAAGTGTTCTGGTTTTCTGTACGCAAAGGATAAATGATAAATGTTAGAAAACTGTCTGATCATTTTGCTTTTAGAAACTCATTCACTTGAACAGAGGATTATTCTAGCTTGGTCCAATATATAAATGTACTTTTTTTTCTTCCCCTTGTTGGCCCAATTCATCCTATTTCAAGGTTCAATGTTCTTTATGGAACTAAATTGTGCGCTCAAGGTCCCAGTTACACCCAAAATAACAAAAATATAAAGTATTAAAAAAAGAAACAGTAGTCTATAAGGATCTAAGATATACGCTAAACAATAATAATACAATATAATATGGTGTATTAAACAGCAGCCTGAACATGAGTCTATAGTGAGCATATTGGTATGAATATAGCAGCTTAAGCTAAGAAATCAGCAGCATGGATAATCAGCAGCACTTTGTACTTTCTTGACACACTTTCCTTTTGTACATGGCTTGACACTTATTTTGGATTCTATTTAGAAGATCTATTTTTTGTCCATTAAAGGGCTACATGAATAATGCTACTCTTGTAACCTTAAGGCTGTAGTTCAAGCCTAATTCAGACCAAAAAAAAAAAAAAGCCAAATATTATACATTTCTTTAAATTCTCCCCAAAGGCAAATTCACTTGTTGTGGTGACCCCTGCAGTGGGGAGGTGTTGAAATAAAAAAATAACCTGACTTCAAAAATTATTTGTCATCTTGTGTGTAGATTTATTTGTGGATTTGACCATGTGACGTCACGTACGCCGCAGAATGGTAGCATTGACAGGAGCTCCACTTCGACTCACCCTTTTTTTGTTCCCCTTTTTTTTGCACCTAGTACACTGTACACCCACGCTATGGGTATAACCGCAACACATTTTTGGAGTTTTGTGTGCCACGCTTCCAGTCTTGGGCTTAGGCTCCGGCCTGTCATGGCGGCTGTCTCTATGCCTCCATCTGCTTGCACGGACCGAACTCTATGGACCTGTTCCGTTCTGCAGAGAAATCTCGGATGTACTGTGTCTGCCAGGCCTGATTCTGGAGGGCAGACTGGGAGGGAAGTTGCCACGGTTGTTACTATCATGTTGCTAACAGGACCGTGTTGCTAA